GGAGACTATATTCTTAAGGAGAAAACGGAGAAATACCAATTAGTCATTGTCATGTGCTTTTTATCAATATTGATAAGGTTGTAGATACTGATGATATTAAGTTATTCGGAAAACATTTACTGTTTTGATTCCCTACGTTGATTGTGATTAGGATAAATCGTTGAATTCATCACGAATTAGCAGCCATTGATGTATAATATACATTAGTACGTTAAATATGCAAGTTGCCAAGAAATTTATCAATTATATCCAATCACACATAAATACCTATCGAAATTCACACGACTAATCAAGGCAAAATTTTTATTCAAGGTTATAAGTAAATTTAAATCATCGGTTTCCATTTAACTAATCCAATATAATACAGACTAATTACCAATGCGTTCATGCTCTTAACTAAACAACATCATGTTGAAAGATTGTTCAGTGAACGTGAGACATTCATCTGCTTCCTTTTTAATACGTCTTTCGCGAACATAGCAAGATATATATCGTCAGCTATCCAAAAAGATGGTGGATAAAAGACCCAAGTGAATGCTAATTAATAGAAGTTTAATTAGAACCAATGGATATAGTAAATAGTACTCTGTGACATATTGATTTTTAAAAAAATGTATCCAGAAGAAATAAAGTGAACTAATAACGTTGAGGTGAGAGATGATGTAAAGATTAGCATCCAAACATGTTTTCTCAATAGTTCAAGTGTATTTCCAGGTATAGATTACATTATGTGAAGAAAATATCAGAACGAATTTTTCAGTCATATGCACAAAGAGAAAGGAGGCGTGAATTAAATAATTTTTAGATAATCATTAGTCGTTTGAAATATGTTATTGAATTACCGTCATACAGAATATATTTTATATTTGTCTGTATACGTATTCATGTGGTTGGACTAGTGAAGGCTACAACTAGCATCTGAGAAAAGCAAAACTGTTGCTTCAAAAAATATACAACTATCATCCAAGTTTCGCAAAATCATCTACAATATTATAGTTAATTAATCTTTATATACAATATGACAACTCTTATCGATTATCTGTGAGAGTTAATGATAATAATTTTTAAAAATTTGGACATGTTTGGACGTAGGACTCGAGGTTCGACATATATCTTCAAACTCCAACATACCAGTTACACCATTTTCAGTGAATTTTAAAATATAACATAAACTGAGGAAAAGAAATGTTAACAGCACTTTTTAAGCACATATGTAATAAATGTTTACCCTTCGTAAAGGTATTTAAGTAAGATATAAACTAAATCTCCAGATTGTTGAATAACATTAGTTTAAAAATTAGAAAATTGTTCCTATTGTTCATGTGATCATTGATTAAAAATGTCTGTTTCCAATGGTAATCCAGATATAACCATACATACACATGCACACTTATAAACAGGTTATAAATCAAATTGTTTAATGTATCGGAGACACGTAGTTTATACTTTACAACATGAAAGTAGCCAAAAAGGTAACCACTACAACATACACAACATGGAAAACAGAATGTCACTCGAAGTATTAGTGTGGTTATTAAAGAATAATTAAAGTATAATATACGAAAAAGTAATGAAAATCAATGAATAATTCAAAAATATAATAAACAAAACGAAGATATGAAATACAGCTAAAAGAAAAAATATATATATCTTAGCCAAATGCTTTCTCTAGCCAAATAAATAGAGGAAATAGAAATAATAACTGTCATAAGTTGTGAAAATTTACGAAAATTTGTATTTCCATACACCCGTTGTACATCACTTGCACATCACATCAAACTCTATAGTGCTTGAAAAAAAATGTCACAAAATCGAAATCACTCAGTAATTCATAATCATGAAATAGAAGGCATTTAACAGTAGTTGACATGAAAATAATCAGAGATAAGACATTAAGTAGATTGATCTTCATTATAATTAAAATGTTAAACAGGTTATTTAAAAATTGTTTATCAATAGCCCGAATAATTTTTAAGTACTCAACAATCCATTGTAACTGATAAATATGAAGTGACTAGTTAGTAACAAACAAAATGACGAAGTTAATTCAGTCAACGAAAGGAAGAATAGGACAAAATTATCAAAATTTATGGAGGGGTAGAAAATAAATGACCTACAGGTTATGGAACCTAGTTTAAAACATGCCTCAAAACACTTAGTTCAAACGATTAGTGGATCCAAAACGAAATCCACAATCGGTCCCGAGAAATAAATGCAAACGGAAAAACTTAGTGATTAGATATCAGGCTACTCCAGCTAGCTCAAAGTGATGAGATAAACAGAGGATAGATAACTGAAACAGAAGTTTATTCAATCAGTTATATACAACATAGAACCTGAAACATTTTTACATAGTCTCGGTTCACAACACTACATCAGCAAAGTGAAATACCAAGGAAGGTGAAGTATTAGCCTAAATGGTATAATAAAAATTCAAGCACAAAAAATAAAGGTCGAGGACAAAGTATAAGTTCATTAATCAAACCAAGTCTATAAGATAATTCGGGAATTTAAGGTCGAAGAGAAATAAAAAGGTGGATGAATCTGGAGCTTCGCGAACGATGCTAAACGATGTCACTCAAAATCTGTAACTATTGGTTGCGGTGATCACCTAGTCTTGAAATAGTTAGTTTGGGCCTACCTACACGCATCACTCCAACATTCAGTAGCTTTATCAACTGATACTACGTCTTGTTTAGGGAGTCACTAGTGTTCTTCCAACTTACTCATATACCAAACTTTGCATAACTATGTATACGGTAGATAGTCATATTTATTTATTTGAATACATAAACGTTGGTACAAGGTAGCACCAAATAGTTGTGCGCCACATAATAACAATGAGGTCAGTAGCAGTTATCGTTGATTTGTGTAAGGGTTATGATACCGCTTCGGTGCCTAAACCGATGCAAATGCTTCTCTTAGGAGACCACACCCAGGGAATTTGACCTAAAGGTCTAATTCACAAGGCAGTGGAGCAACGTTAGAAGATGCAGTCCCATGGTAGTCAGTGACCAACAATAGGTTCATACTATTTTTGTTTCCTCAGGATCCTGGATCCCATGTGCACCATTAGTTTGGAATCAGGGTTTTCCAACTCTCCTATGTGGTTGCTGATACAGGCAATACCGTGAAAATAGCTGACAGGATATTAGAGAGAACCAATAAACGAGTCTCCAATTGAATAACACAACGGTAGACAACAGAATCGGTACACTACAGGAAGAAATAAGCATTTTGTGCCACAGGCTGATAAAGTTGACAGAATGACAGATCGAAACGATGATCATGCTTCAGATACCAACCGTTCTCCAGGAGACGCCTGTCTTCATCAATATTCTTTTGTCATCAAACTTATGGCAACAGAGTTAGGTGCCAACGGCCTTGCAAACTAAACATAATGAGGAAATGACCCCGCTGGTTGCCTATGACTACTGCGTCATTTGGCGTAACTCCTAGAATCAGTCGTTGGTTTTACATACAGGATCAAACGATGGGTGGACGATCATCTAAACTGATTAAGACAATTATTTATGAGACTTCAAGAACATGGCATCTCCATTAACGTTCAGACGTGTTAATTTGTGAAGGAATCCCTGCAATTCCTAGGTCACATGGTAACTTCTCAAGGTATCACACCAGTTCTGGCAGAAGTTGCTGCTATCTGCGATTATTCGTTACTGAAATCACGAAAAAAATTGTGATGATTTCCGAGGCTAATAAATTATTATAGACGATTTTTTCCGAACTGTGCGAAAACATTGCAGCCACTGACGGACGCTTCGCGAGGATATGCCCGGACATTCCATCTGTCGGCAGAGGCTAAACAGACACTCGAAAAGACCAGGCAAACACTAAAAGGAAAGACTTTGCTGCTAGTCAGACAAAAGGGTGAAATGCTATCAGCCATCATGACTGGATGCATAAAAGGTGACAGTAGAAGCCGTATGGCAGAAGTTAGTAAGTGTCACATGAGAACTAATTTCATTTTTATGAAAGAGATCGAGTCCTACTCGGACTCAGTATAATACATTGGGAAGAGAATTGCTAGCAAGTTACTGTTCAATAAAGCATTTCTTACACTGGTAAGAAATACGATTTTCACTGTGTACGCGGATCATAAACCTCTTACGAAGGCATTAGGCGCCAAACGAAATAATTATTTTCCAAAGGAAATTCAACAGTTAAAATTTATTTCCCAATTTACGTTTAGTACAATATATATTAAAAGCAGTGATAAAGAAGTAGTGTGTGTAGTGGTATTGGTCCTAACCACATAATCCTCAAAGCTGAACATGAAATAACTGGGAAAATGCATGTTCTAGGACAGTGATATAATCTTCATTCCCGTTGTAGTCGATCATCATAATCTGGCAGCGTAGCAAAAGGTGGATGTTGAATTAAGCAGGCTAAGGTCCAATAACACAACTCCGTTGGCTTTCGAAGTTCAATCCGGCGGTGTAAAAGTAATATGTGATATGTCAATAGGCCAAATGCGACCGTTTATCCCGAAGCCATTACGATGAAAGGTATTATATATTATGCGTAATATATTCCATCCTGGAATAAAAGTCACGTTCAAACTACTCAGCGAGCGATTCGTATGGCTAAACATGAACCCGTATATTCGTAATTAAACAAAAGCATCCATGAAGTTTCAAAAAGTCAAGGCCCATCGTCATAGTAGTTCCACAGTGGGTTCTTTCCCTTACTCCGACACTAGATTCATACACATACACATCGACAATGTGAGGCTGCTCCCAATTTTGAATGACTACAACTATATTTTTACAGGCATCAATAGATTCACATGATGGTTGGTAGTGGAGCAATTGAAAAACACCTAAACTGAGAATAAAGCCAAAACCCTAGTGGGAAGCTGGATTTATCGCCATGGAGGAATTGTCTCAGAGATAATCCACTACTGGTTTTCAATAACATTTTTCTTTATTCCCAGGAAGAACTTTGCCGTAAAAAAGAACATAAAAACAAAGACTCACCGAAAAACTTCTGTGAAGTTAAACCAGGCATAGCAGGAAAATAACTGATATTGTTAGCGTTAAAAAATGCACATGATTCCTCAGTTGCTATTTCAGGATTATTACAATATGCTTCATAAATAGGACCAGTGGTATTTTTATGACATTGTGCAGTACCGTTGACAGTGATAAAATCTTGACTTAATAAACGTCCACCCAATGCACAAACACTAAATTAACATTGAAAGGAGAAATATGTTTTAAATATAAGAGTATTTTTGACCAGCAATAATCGTCGTTAAACATAAAAAAGACCTTTCGGATTTAAAACTTTATCCTAAAAGTACTTTTACTGCGTTTGCACCATCAATCTATTATTTAACAATCCCATTAGGATAAATTAGAGTTAAATTAGTTATCTAATTTATAAGCCGAACATTCAGTAGATATATAAAGCAATATGGTATATGACTAAACTGTCAAACTTTCTGATTAATAAGAACGAAACTTCTAAGATATCTTCTAACACACAAGTAAAGCGAAGAAATATTTCATTCCAATTATTTTTTCATAATTGCTCCACATGGACATGAACAAGTCCTAGTTAGACAACAGTTTGAAACCAGGAAATACCAAACAACTACTTCATCCTAGTATGCGACTACTAAGAATAATGCGTCCGTGATGTCACTGAAGGTAATGTCAGGTGGTCTCTCAATATCGCCAACTAATCAACGTTAAAAATGTTAAACACTAAATACTAGCTCAGTAGATTAGAACCTAGGCGCTCGGAGTAAGAATCGAGTTTCCTGGGTCCGACCCCAGATAAACTCCTAGATACGCACTGTTGAGTAGACTAGAATTAAATGTTTGTCCAATACCTCCTGATTTCAGTGAAATCAAACTGATAGATTAGATTATACGATATAAGAGAATTGACAAAGTTTTGATAGGAATTCGAATATTGAATAACAGTTATATAATCACATAGAGACTATTACAGTCATGCAACAATAAAGAAAAGCATTATTAACGAAGAAAGCCATAGTAACAATAAAAAAGCTACATGGAAAGGTATATTTTTGATCGGTTCGTCTTTTTTTAATATCTAAATGAGAATTTCCATTTGATTTAATTTATTTCCTCATTACAAGTATCAATAACAACATGGACGCAGATATCGTGTTGATTCAATAACATAACAAAATCTATGATAAATTAATAACAATTCACTGATTGATATTTTTCATCTAAAAAATAATAATAAAAGAGTATAGGAACTTTCGTCTAAATTAGAGCGAATAGTTTCACAATATTTAAGCGCCGAGTTGATGTAAGACATTAAATAGGAATAATATATTTGTAAAATCTCAGCGAATGAATTTGAAGGAAATAATATTTCCTTGGAAAAGCTTGGACCAGATTGCCAAGTGAAACGTTGGATTTACTTCAAATTCATTCGCGGAGATTTTACAGATATATTATTCCTATGATATAATTAAAGAGGTTATGGATTCTAAAAATTTCTATCATAAAATAACATGAATGTTATTAAAATTAATGTAATTTGACTAGCTTAAACTGTAAAAAGAAGCACTAAAAAACGAGTAGAATGATGCTTGAAGCATTCCATCTGTTTTTTTCACTTCATTAATTTTTCTCCATTCAACTATGAAAAGTTTATTGTATATGTGCCAATCCTTTTAACGTAAGGTTGAATGATGAAATTTCAGTAGTAAATAAATAAATTTATCAAATATTTTGTTAAAAATTAAATTAAATTCTACGACGTAAATATAATGATTATTAACAAGATAACGTAGATTTAAATTTCTTTTTCTCAAAAAAAGACGAAAAAACAGTTCTGTTGAAATATTCATGTTCATTTGATGAAGAAGAAGAAGAAGAAAAAGAAAAAATGGAATGAGAAACCGTGAAATAGCTGTTGTAGTGAAAATGATAGAGATAAAAAACAAATCTTATATTTACAAAAGTCAAAGTAGATTACGTTAATCAATCAGTAAAAACCAAATTTTTTTCTCTCCCCTAGATTTATATCTAATGACAATAGGTTAATGACCGGAAAAAATATATATAACAACTTAATTAAAATTTTTATAGTTGAAAGCATAAGTCGATTGAAGCTAGACCACCATGGAAAACCTGGAAGTACTGGACGGCCGATTCGTCCTATTGTGGGACTCCTCAGCAGTGCGCAACCATGATCCTGCACTCCCGAGATTCGTACCCAGGACCTACCAGTCTCGCGCCAGAGCACGGTTGCTCAACTTCGTGAATTGGTTGAAGTGAAACATTAACACTATCGGATGCCAGCTCAGTGGTCTATCAGTTAATTTCTCGAGCGCGAGACTAGTAGGTCCTGGGTTTGAGTCTCGCGAGGCGAGATCGTGGATGCGTATTGCTGAGGAGTCTGACAATAGGACGAAATGGCCGTCCAGTGCTTCCAGGTTTTCCGTGGTGGTGTAGCTTCAATTGACTCATGCTTTCAACTTTGAAAATACTGAAATCTCCACAAAAGTTATCTGAAACAGAGTTTAGTTACTAAAAAAAGGAAAAAAAATACTAGATTGTATGTTTGAAATCAGTTTTTACTTTTGGAAGATGAGTAAATCTGGACTTTTCAAATAACGAAAGAAACCTAATGTATTCAATTGAAGAAGGATTCGAATACGGGTTCGCTAGTAAAAACTTTTTCGTGCTATTTCATTGTATTCACTGTGATTTAACAAACACAATAGAATTGCATAATAAAGCGTTTAGAAATTTTATGTCGAAAAAGGGTTGCGTAAGAATCGGCAAGTGAAAAATTATATTCCATACATTTGATTACATTTTAAAAGTCCGAAGTAACTTTCAATATTTGTACAACTTTTTTTGACGTATGAAATTTTCAAACACTTAATCATATGACACGTCTATTTTCCAACAGACTACATTATTTGTTAAACTACTATGATGAGTATGAATATAGAGCAAGGGTAAATTATATCATCATGAAGACCGTTTTTTCTCTGTCTTTCATTTAATTCTACCTCAATAAATTAAATTTATTGTCAGTAAAATGAATATAACTCGTACATTTGATGGCAATAAATTATCTATCTGTTTGAAGTTCACTATGTGCAATGAAGAAACCGACAGAGAAATATAGTAAGTCAGAGCAACCAGTTGACGACATAGAAGGCAAGAAAATCACTGAGACTCAAGAACAGAGAAATACGTGGGTACAACACTTTGAGGAACTCTTGAATAAGCCAGCTCCATTAAATCTACCGGACATCGAAGCACACACACAGACCTTACTATAGATGTCACTCCACCAACGATCAAACATATCAGAATGGTCATCAGACAAATCAAGAGTGTGAAAGCAGTAGGACCTGATGATATACCAACCGAAGCACGAAAGTCAGACATAGAAGTAATTGCAAACATACGCACGTTCTATTCGAGAAGATTTTGGAGGAGGAACAAGTGCCGACAGTTCGAAAACAAGCATACCAAGGATATGAAGCTAAGAAAGCAAGGAGATCTGAGCAAATATGAGAACTACAGAGACATCACACTATTATAGGTACCAGGAAAAGTTTTCAACAGAGTGTTGCTGGACCGGATGAAAGATTCAGTAGACGCTCAGCCTCCAGGTCAACAGGCCAGATTTCGTAAGGATAGGTTCTGTACAAACCAAATTACGATAACACCGACGGCCATAGAACAATCATTTGAATGAAACTCCTCACTAAGCATCAACTCCCTTGACTAGGAGAAAGCGTTTGATAGTGTGCAAAGGAGAAGCTTATGGAACATTCTTCGACATTATGGAAATAGTAGCTGAGAAGATCGTCAACATCATTCGGAATTCATACGATGGATCACACTGAACATTCGTGCATGGAAGATAGCTGACAGACGCATTCTAAGTGAGGATCAGAGTCATTCAGGGCTGCTTACTCTCTCTTTCTTCTGGTGGTTTAGTGGGTTATGAAGACCACCACGTCTGAGGGGAAGCACAGAATACAATAAAAAGGGTTGAATGCAACTAGGCGACTCGGACTTCACAGATGACTTGACCATTTTATCCCATACAGACCAACAAATGCAGGTCAACACAACCAGGGTGGTAGAAACCTCTGCATCACTATGCCTCAACACACACAACGGAAAAATTAAAGTCCTCAAATACACCACAAACAGCACCAACCTAATCACACTTCATGGAAAAATTCTGGAAGAGGTGGAAAGTTTCACATTTCTCAACAGCATCATTGATAAATAAGGAGGATCTAATGTAAATGTGAAGGCAAGGATCGACAAAGCAAAGACAACATTCCTACACTTCAACAAAATATGGAACTCAAAACAACTGTCAACCAATATTAAAGTCACAATATTCAATACGAACATCAAGACAATTATATTGTGCGCAACTCAAATGGGGAGAACTACTAAAACCATATTCGAAAAAGTGTAAGTATTTATAAACAAGTGTCTATGTAAGATACTCAATGTCCCTTGACCGGATACCATCAGCAGTAGCCTACTGTGGGAGAGAGCAAACCACTTTCCATCTGGAGAGGAAAAGACGTTGGAGGTGGATAGGAAGTAGATTACGGAAATCACCAAACTGCATCACGAGGCAAGCATTAACTTGTATTCCTGAGGGAATGCGGAAAATATGAAGACCAAAGGATACATTGCGTCGGGAATCGTAAGCAAGCGGCAAAAGAATAAATAACAACTGGGAAGGATTGCTCGGGACGGAGTTTGGTGGAGAATCCTGGTGGGCGACCTACGCTCCACGACGGGTAACAGGCGTAAGTAAGTAGGTAAACGTACCTATAGAAATCTAGAAGCGTTGAATAGTTACTTGATTCTAACTTGAGAAACATCAAAATTATATATATAACACTGAACAATGTCGAAAACGGCGTTTTCAAGACTAGCGACGAGTACTTAATCATCCAATCAGTGAATTATTGTTATCTAATAGTTCAATGTTTTTCTAACTTGGTAAATTTTCTACCTATGTTACGTACTCAGTACTGAGTGAATCTACAAGAAATATGGATATTTTAGATGATCCAGGATCGGAAACCTCAAGAGCGAAGACATCATGTGACAATAGAAAAGTGTTTTATTGTATAGTATAATTTCAAGCTCACACTGATTATTGTAGCTTCCGGAAATACCGACCTATTTTTTCGTTTTGAGTTACATTCTGATATTGTCAAACATCCGCTTATGACGTTGACTGGTTTTATATGGACGTATATGTGTGTCGCTTACCGTCTTTTATCACATCTCTTTAGCTTATTTTTGTTTGGCCATAAATATCGAGTGACGCTTGATCGAATCAAGTTAGCACACTTGCGTTCTGAGGCCTGCTCCTCTTCGTTTCTCCTACTGGATGAACCAGTGTATGAAATAGACTTATGGAAAATTTATTATCGTATTTGAATTAATCTATTCCGTTACTCACTAACGCAAATTAAGTCGATAATTATACACAAGGGTTGGCGGCACGTATATTTCGTTAACCTCACCTGACGATCAACTGGAGTCAGATCAACAGGTCACAAAAGTGTTATTTCAGCAAGAATGTATACCAGGTGAAAACTAAATCAATCCAAACTAATACACTTAAATGGAAACTATATTTAGAGGTAAATGTCCGGATAAAAATACTACAAAGTTTATAAATACGTACTTGAAGTGGAATAAATTTGAGAAAAACTAAACTTACTAAGGACTTCTAGATGGATTCACTGTAAAAACTCCTAAATACACGCATAAAATTGAAATCAAAACAGCAGCCAAACTGACGGCAGCAAATCGGCTAACAAAACGAATGCCCATGAACACACAACACATAACAGTAAACAAAAGTATTGTACCATAAACACGTGTATTGTTAAATAGCGCAGCATCTGATGTAATGTCTCCAAATAACGATGCCTGGGGACATATATATTTCTAAAAGATATTTAAAAAATGTAAATTCTTTAGAAAGCTAGATAGATATATCAAAATGTTTAAAATATTAAAATATTAAAATGCTTAAAATCTACTGTATGTTTATTTTATCTTTTGGTTATAAAAGCTAAACTAATCATAAAAATATCAAGTTTTATTAGGAGGCGAAGCCACGACTTAGTAGACTAGGAATCATGAATAAGTATCACCACACTAACAAATATAGTTACAAAAATGTATTGAACACACAGATCATCAAACAAAACAAAGGAGGTTAAAAGAAATTCTTTTCACTAATGTCATTTACCTGAGCTGTACGATCGTGTTTAAGATTTATTTCGCATATAGTAGTCTATAATCAAATGAAGGCGTGTTGTACGATCTGAAAAAGCAATCAAGTACTATCAAGAAAAGAAGTATCTAATCCATTCTCTGTCCCCTATAACTAAACGAATGTGGACAGATAACATTATCGATGACGAATTAAACATGATCTGGAGAGTACAAGCGGAAAATAGTTCACTTCTCACAGTTTCGTTAACGGTAATCTGAAACCAAAGTATCTAGTTGAAAGTATCCTCAAAGTTCCGAGTAGACTTGTATTCATATACAATGAATTTAAAGAGTATTTTGTTGCCCGATATCTGACTCCAGTTAGTTCGTATACTGATTGCTATCAAAATATACATACCGCCAATCCTCGTATATTTTTATCGACTGAAATCGCGTTAGTAAATAACGGAATAAGTTAAATACGAGAATGATTTTTGAATACGCACATTTCATGCAATCATTGATCCGGATAGACAATCAGAGAAACGAATTGAAGAGAGCGAAGCGAAACAAAACGAAGTGTTGCACGATGAAGAAGGTGAGTGAGACAATTCTATTTTGATCAAGCGTGGTTCAAACAAAAATATGTTAAAAACACGTAATGAGTAGGGTAAGTAATTAACACACATATGATCAATGTGAAAACAGTAAAGGGTTAATAAGCGAATAAGTGACAAGGTTAATGTGTGACTTAAGAAAAATGAATAAGTTGGTCTATCCAGAAGCTAGAATAACTTATGTGGTCTTGATATAGTATCAGCCACCACAAGAACATATCAAGAAATTTTAAGAGCAAACTCCAAAAACCTTTAAGAGAGAACTTTTATGAGACGAAGCTCCGAACATTTTCTTTAGTAGGTATCAAACTCTGACAGTGTCGAAGATATATTGACGTTGTGAGCCACCTCAATGTGCATTTGTCAGTTTACTTGAGTTTATGAAACAGGTTATATTGGCCATGTAAAGAGTTAACAAATATTCAAACACTAGTCTCCAACACTACTTAAACTTGGAATGTGAGTTATTCAACGCCTCAATCCTTGAAAACACTGTCAACGCACTTCCAGGTGAATCATCGGACAGAGCTATCTAAAAAAATCGAAAGAACTATCTCAAAGAAGTTTTAGAACAGAAATCCATGTATATCTAAGGCTACAGTTATTCATCGACTCGAAATCTATCTTAAAACCCACTTTTTATTTTACAAATCGTTGGTGTCAATTATTTTCTTATCCTTCGGTTTCACAAAGTAGAAAATCATCATTTATATCTATTTTATCAATATTTATTCCTCATTATTCAAGAATACAGCATAACATAAAGTCAATACTAGAAAACTTATGACTATTTTATGCAATAAATATGATTGTACAGCTCACGTAAATGATATTACTGAAAAAACGTTTTCTTCTCTGAAACGTCTCCATTCTGTCTAGTTCCTCTAAAATAGATCCATGAAAATAGCTATTTACACAAATGATACAATTTTAATATTTATTAGATTCTGATGGTGCATTTTCGTAAACTAGAAGAAACTTGAGAAAATATAGAAATCTTCTGTAGTTTTATTTGTACCCCAATAAATCAAACTATTTCTTAACAAATTAGTTGTAGGAATGGAAAGAGAGTAAGAGCCCGACGAAAAACAGTAAGTTTAATACACAAAATGAAAACCAAGAAATAAAGCACCTCATAATAAAAACTACCATATATTTTACAAACCAATTGTAATACTTTTGTTGTTGATCAGACATGTTAATGAGTTTCATAAAGAATAGAACGTACACTCCACAGATGATAACAACTGATGTATTGTCATGAAATACAAAAATAAATTACGAAGTATTCGCACCTTTAACAACTCTTATTAACACAACAGCCTCGATATTGAACAATACAAATCTTACGCCCATGGAAAAAAACACTTTTTATGGGTAGCTAAAACGATGAGAACAGTGAATGCAAATATTGCCTAATCCATTAATTTACTAACAAAGACTACGTGATATAATAGAATAGCTTCAGTAGCCTTATTTACGCTTCAACAATAATAAGAAATGATTTTTATCAATAGTTAAGAATCAAGGACTTCTAAATGCATCGTTAATATATTAAAAACCAAACTGAGAACATTAAACCAGCTTACAAACATAAAATAATAAATAACACTCACTAGAAATACTTCCACAGCTCCTACTAGATACATAGCAGACGCTATTGTAGTACCGAGATAGAAAAGTATACCAACTGCTCCACCAAAAGCAGGGCCAATCGAACGTGATATCATGAAATATGATCCGCCGGCAGGAACTTTCCCGTTTGTTGCAATTGCAGACATACTTAAGGCAGTGAGCATAGTCTACAAAAGAAGACAAAAAATCTATTATTATTATCATTATTATTATTAGTGGCTTTATTCAATATTATATTTTGAAACAGTATAGAATTCTCAGCACAGAGTATTTTAACAAGTTTCTTTTTCTTGTTTCTTTATCGATACTTGTGATAAATATTGAGTGGTTGCCAGTTAGATGTTAGCAGTGCAGGAATCAACATCTGAATAATGTTTATTCTTTACCATGTATATTGGCAGCAACCACGATATCTCTGATTAAGCTGTTTTGTAACTTGTACAGTGAAATGTCGTAAACTTTTCACAAACGCCTATGAATAGGTTATGAGACTAATAGGCATAATGATGGGCTAAAACAAACAACAAAACAGATAACTTGTTGAAATATCCACATCGCAGGAACAGGTAGTTCAGATATTCAAGCAGGTCACCTTGTGACAATATCATTTTAACATTGAAACACAGACAGTTTGGATGTTATCATAAACATTTCAGGCCAATAACTGTTTTGTTTGTTGATATCAAAAGTGATTTTCTACTAAGTATAAACTAAATCAAAATAATGATAATCTATCTACTCTCATATAATTTCATTTTTTCCATTTTATTTTAAAAAAAATCTTGTCATTTTAGAATAAACAAAATAAATATTATTCAGACAAAATTTAAATAAAGAAAATTTGATCTCAACTAGAGGACAAATGAATTATAACAGAGATCGATGAACAAATGTTTCATGATAGATTGATGCATACATATATTTATTACTGGAAATTGTCAGACAAAAGAATTAACACAACTGTCTAATACTTTACAAATTTTAACAGTTGGCTTTGTTTTAAACTAGATCATAATATATAAACTAACTTAACGTTACAAAATAAATTTGAATGATTAGGAAGATGATGATAGATTTAGGTAATTTTCATAGTTGAAATCATGAGTCAATTGAAGCTAGACCACCATGGAAAACCTGGAAGCACTGGATGGCCGTTTCGTCCTATTAATCAAAATCGTGAATTGGTTGAAGTTAGACATTAACACCATCGTATGCCGGCTCAGTGGTCTATCGGTTAAGTGCTCCGGTGCGAGACTGATAGGTCCTGGGTTCCAGTCTCGCGAGTGCGGGATGATGAATGCGCACTACTGAGGAGTCCCAAAATAGGACGAAACGGCTGTTCAGTGCTTCCAGGTTTTCCATGGTGGTGTAGCTTCAATTGACTCATGATTTCAAACATGAAAGTACTAAATTCTACACAAAACCCTTTCAGAATTAAGTAAATTATTATAAATATATATATATATAGAATGGAAACGATAAAAATATTTTAAACAGGTTGTTAGAAATGATAAATCAAGTTGATTTTACAATTGACCTGATCAACATGAAATTAAGTTTCACTGAAATGGTCTATGATTTATTTTTCAAGAAAACTTGAAACAAAATAAATTATTTTCAATATTATGTATATAATACACATCCAGATATATATATATATCGTATTCATTAAAAACATGTTTAACTTACAGCTTGAACATATCTAAATATATATCACGGAGTATTTATCATATGCTACTGTAACTCTAAATGTAAGGAAGTGATAAATAATAAAAATGAATAATCGTGGTACTACACTTATCGCTTTATAGGATACCAATATCTGTAGACCACTGTATCCGGCTCTCCAAGTATTTATCCACTTTATCGGTCGGTAAAACATACACAGATTACATAGCTTTTATGTCCCATACAGACCAACAAATGCAGGTCAACACAACCAGGGTGGTAGAAACCTCTGCATCACTATGCCTCAACACACACAACGGAAAAATTAAAGTCCTCAAATACACCACAAACAGCACCAACCTAATCACACTTCATGGAAAAATTCTGGAAGAGGTGGAAAGTTTCACATTTCTCAACAGCATCATTGATAAATAAGGAGGATCTAATGTAAATGTGAAGGCAAGGATCGACAAAGCAAAGACAACATTCCTACACTTCAACAAAATATGGAACTCAAAACAACTGTCAACCAATATCAAAGTCACAATATTCAATACGAACGTCAAGACAATTATATTGTGCGCAACTCAAATGGGGAGAACTACTACAACCATCTTCGAAAAAGTGTAAGTATTTATGAACAGGTGCCTATGCAAGATACTCAATATCCCTTGACCGGATACCATCAGCAGTAGCCTACTGTGGGAGAGAGCAAACCACTTTCTATCTGGAGAGGAAAAGAGGTTGGAGGTGGATAGGAAGTAGATTACGGAAATCACCAAACTGCATTACGAGGCAGGCAATAAACAATGATATCTGAAGGAATAAAATTGCCTTTTAAACCTTTCAATTCACACTTTTATGCAGATATTTTTAAACCATTCATTGTATTAGTTAATTAGTATGCTAGTCGTTTCATAAACGATCTTGGAGCTCACAACCAAATAATCAATAAACTTGAAATACTTATTATTTAGGGCAAAAGATGTTGGAACAATAAATGTAGTTTGAAATTTGGATTAATTATAAATCTCAACTATTGGTTTCTCTGCTTTTTTATTTTCTGTCAACTATGTATTCGATGAATATTTAGTTTGTTAGTCGATAATAAACACTTGTACGATATGGACTAAGACAACACAATGATTAATCTTATGGACATTTTAATTCAATATCACTTATGTTGAAAAACTTGTTCAATACTAAAAACCCCAGTACAGATAAACAGATCAACTGGAAGGAAGTACTATAAAAAACAGGTAATTAGGTTTTAGAATACTTTTAAAAGTCGTTAATGGAACAGACATAGCATATGCGTAGCATGATTATATCATATTAATAACGACAGTAAAAACCAATTACTATGATAACGACTAAAATCTTATACATTACCAAGTATACTACTATATTATATTAGTAGTACAAAACCATTTATGTCAATCATAGACTTAAATGATTTCATCTGCGTGAATCCATAATTTTGAGATATTTCCTTCGTCAAGAAATGAATATTATACACCAAAGGATTAAGAATAACATATAAATGTATATCCTCGGCCATAGAAAAATGAAGTTTTTCATACATAAGTTGTGTAAAAATAATACATGCGCCAATCAGTAATCAGAAGCTTCTTTCCTCATAAGAATGATGAACTAAGAAGTGTTTTAACAATGAAATGCAAATAATCATTAATATATGGTGATGTTTTCTTGGAAGTGAATCATCATTTACCTTGCTGATTTCAATTATAATAAACTTACAAACTTTAATTAGCTTGTTGGAGTAGGATTTGGAAGTCCATACATAGCAAAAGTCTCATTCACTTCCCTGTTATCCAGTAGTTTGAAGTTAATTAATCTAATAGTTTGTTGCATCTCCTGTAATATACAAAATCATTTCAATCGTGCTTCAATTTAGTCTTAAAGTTCATAGTTTGAAAATAGTACTCCTGAATAAAGAAATAAAAATATCCGAATCTTATAAACTACTCAACATAACCTGCTTTTTACCCATTTTATCAATATGTATTAGAATTTGTTGATTTTTCTAAGAAAAACAATAAATTATCCCTTGAATCCACACAAAGTAAAAAGATTACTTCTCACAATTATAATACCGTGACATGATTATTTAATTTGTTTGTGATTCTGTTAGTCTTTCCTAATATTCACTCTTCGACTCTGGATTTTTATCAGAAAAAAATATGAAAAGATATGTGTGTAAGAAGGGCGAACAAGAAGAAATCACATTTTTGGAAACATTCTATGGACATTATATAAACTAGAAAAAACCAGTATGAATATCGTATGACTTAAAAAACACAACTTACAATATTATGAAATAAGTGATGAGTTAATGTAAATAAATTATCCAGTTCATTTTTTTAAAAACAAATACAATAATTATCTCAATAAGGGAAGAATATTGTCAAGACCAAAACATTGCCCTAGGAACAATAATAAGATTAAGTAAATTTAAGTAGTTTATTTATATTGCAATAATTATCCGAATATATCATCAAAACAAATCTACAAACACAAGATATGCTTAAGTTAAATATTTTATTGTTTCAAATGATTACTGTCAGTGGTTTACAATAATCTTCAAAACACCATGTTGTACTTGCTAATCAGTAAAAAAGATGTCGAGTTCTACCTACGCATTTATAAAGCATTAAACGAATTTTAAAATTGTTATGACGATTGACTGTGTGCGTGCTCTGTATATATATGAGTGATAATACCGCCAATAAGAGAGCAGTGAATTTATTGATCGCCCAATGATACACAAAATCGTATGAGCAGTCTTGAGTACCTAACAGTCCTGCTATCTGCCTAGCCCAACCAGTTCAGTCCAGAGCATCAATAACAGCCTCTGAAATATGAATCATTATTTTCAAACATACTGAGTTTATATACCAATCAAACAGACCACATAGTACCATGAAATAAAAAATAGCATTTGTACAATATTTAGCCAAATGTGGCTGCGAATAGGGGGAACAGTAATAAACAAACTGGGGATAACGCAAGAATGGTAATAATAATAATAATAATAATAATAGTTTACAGGTCAAAATAAAGCTTATAATAAAAGGGACACGAATATGAATAGTTTAGTTACTTAACAATTATACAATATGAAATATATATATCACATTGGTCCATAAATAGTCCTCAAAGTTACCATTAATAATTCTCCACGGGATATAACAAAAATATTCTGTAATGTCTAAGATAATTTTTTCCTCCTATTACTTTCACTATAATTAATAGTATTTGAGTTAATACGTAACCCGAATTCAGATTACGGAATATGGTTGAAATAATTAGGGACCTTGAAAAGTAAAAAGTAAATTATATATATATATATATAAATGCAGATATCACGACACTTGACCAAATGGTGTATTTCGTTATAAGTAGTATGTTACCTCACTTTAGTGGTTAATAATTGTATGATGTGTCTTCAATAGACAAGTTTACTAATAATAAAGCT